TGTTTAGCCCCGCCCACCGATTCTACATCAGTCTGTTTAGCCCCGCCCACCGATTCTAAATCAGTCTTTTTAGCCCTGCCCACCGATTCTACAGTATTGCCTGTTTAGCCCCGCCCACTGATTTGCGCATGCAGTGTTTAGGAGAAAGGTCAATGCGCAGGTCTATGCAGAAACAAAATGATAAAGATGCTCTGAATACAACAAGATGTTGTGCAGTGTCAAGCTGTGCAAGTTGTGGAAAAAGTGTTTGCATTGCCTTCTGATCCCAGCGTTAGGAAAGAGTGAATGAACTTTATTTTTAATGAAGATCCAGACCGCGTCTTTAAGAACTCGGTACTTTATTCACGTCTTTTTACTGTGGATTTGTTTACAAACAAGGCACAATTCGACGCAGGATTTTCAGAAAGATTGAAACAAAGTCGATGCTGTGCGACTATATTGGATCCGGCCGTAATGTCGCAACACAAGTGTGAGTAACTGTTTTCATTACATGATCATTATTGCTTTGTCTGTAAAACAGATCGTTTGATATGTACTGAGTATTTATTCGTTTTTGCCCTAAATTACAGCAGTGTCCATCTATGAGGAATGTACAGCAGTGGGTGTTTCCAAGTCCGAGTCTACAATCCTCCACGTCTATTCAAACAGAGCGTTCTGATGAGGGGGGTCAAAACAGCACAGAAAATAGCCTATTACTTCTAAATTATTATATAATGTATACTACTTATACATTATAAATGGACCTTAGAGAAAAGTACAAAAAAAAGAGTCAGTTCATGATTTCTTTAAATACTTAGTAACATAGTAATATTAACATTTCTTATTTTGTTTCATTTAGTCATTTTTATAGTTTTATTTTGTATCACCATCACCATCACCATCATCACCATCACCAACATCACCATCATCATCATCTTATAGTCATACTGATACTTAATCACAAAATTATGTGCCAAAACGTGCAGTCCTAAAACAAGCACAAAAATCTATATTATATATATAATTAATCAAATTTTTTTTCCAGAAAAATTGCAATTTGAAAAAGTCAAGCAGCAGTAAATTAGTTAACATTTGAAAATGAGGAAATTAATACTCTTTTATTAGGAACTGTGTAATAAAAAAAATTATTTGTTGAGAGATAAAATTATTATATATAATATTGCAATAGTAATATGCATTGTTTTTATTTAAAAATGTATGTTTAATTTAGCAATAATAATAATTATAATAATAATAATATATAATAAATTACTAAATTATAATTTTTTGGCCAAAATGTGCAGTCCTACAAAACAAAAACATCAAAAACTAAGTCCTTATCAAACAGAGAAGAACTGTTTTCCAGCACACTGGATCTTTTGACTTTTGCACAAGCGTTTTGCTCCTGTTTTCTCCATTTGATCTCAGATTGTGTGTTTTGACACACACACTCACTCACTCACACTCTCACTCACACTCTCACTCACACTCTCACTCACACTCACTCACTCACTCACACACTCACTCACTCACGCACACACACACACACACACACACACACACACTCACTCACTCACTCACTCACTCACTCACTCACTCAAACACGCACACTCACACACACTCACTCACTCACTCACTCACTCAATCACACACTCACTCACACACACACTCACACACACTCGCTCACTCACTCACTCACTCACTCAAACACGCACACTCACACACACTCACTCACTCACTCACTCAAACGCACACACACACACACACACACACACACACTCACTCACTCACTCACTCACTCACTCACACACACACA